AGTCGTGAAATCCCCGACATCCTCCTCGATTTCGAGACCTCCCTCGACGAACCCTCAGAGGAACACGTCTCGTCCCAGCTCACCGACCATCCGGCCCAAGATGTGGAAGCCCTCGGAGATGCCCGGGTTCTCGCTCGACGCCCCGCCTAACCTGAGGACATCAATAGCCGACAGGCAGCCATCGGTCACGCGGGGTCGACCAGGGGCGCCGGGCCCACGTTCGTCTTCGGTGGAACCCGCTTCGAACGGGCGGGTCAGGCGGCAGTCGTGTTCTCCGGCGAGGGGACGTCCGCCCAACGGAGTCTCACACAGCAGTGGTAGCTCGGTACCCGTGCCGGCTGTGAACCGGTTGCATGCGAAGGCGAACGATAATGTAAGCCCAGTTCTTGTCGGGACTAAGATGGTGGAGAGGGTTATTAATATGAGGAAGCTCGCGCCTCCGAGGATGGATGACAAGAACTCGCCGCGCAGCAATTTATCGGGAAAGTCTTCGTCCCCCGACAGCTCGGGGTTCGGAAGAACGCTTTCGAAGAAATCTTTGGATATGGCTATACGACACATGGTATTATTATTATCTAATATAAGTTATAATTAATGTGAGCAATATAAGAAAAAAGGAAATTTTTGTTGTATGGTTTTTCTGTAAGTACATTCTTTGTGCAGGATATAAGACGAACTATTCCTGGAAATCTAAGGCCTCTGATGACCAACATCCCTGCATCGTCAATGTATAGTGTTCGATCGGGCCCACCTAGAAGGAACGTTAGCGCATTGGATTCACCAGTTGCAACGAGTAGCAACGCTAGCTCTGAAGTGAGTGTTAATAACAATGCCCTATGCATGGACGGGCATGAGGTCGACGATGATGTGAGCAGCGATAAGGGTATTCGATCACCTGCCAGTTTACGCGGGAGGTGATTTTGGTTTTCTTTATGCCTTCTCTTATTATGCATTTAGTTTTTAACTTCTGTTGGCAGCATTCTTGCGGGTCATCTGAGAATTCTGACTTTTTATTGGGAGGAGAAAAGAGGGAAAAGAATGAAAAATGGTTGAGCAGATGTGTTTTCTATAATGTTAATGTAAATTTCTATGTATGAGCCATTTAATGCTTTGTATTATGGGTAGAGACTGGGTCACATGGATCATCGTCTTGTGAGTTTGGTATGTTTTGGTGATGGAATGTGTATCACCTTGGAATTCTGATCGATACTTCTTAAATTCTAAGCTAATTCGTGAATCAAACTTGACCGGATTAGTCCAGAATCTGAATTATCTGTATTTACCGTATTTTCTGTTTGCTATCAGTTATTGGAAAAGGCTATAATCCCTCTCACGGAATGTTTCCGTGAGGGGTTTTTAGCCATTAGATATATAGTTATTGTAGATACATTGAAGTTACATGTTTATCTAATGGCTAAAAACCCTGACTGAATCATATCGTGACTGAATCATATCGTGACGGAATTGTAGCCTTTTCCTAGTCGAGACTTCCTTGAGAATTAGATAGGCTATTTGATTTACATTAATCATTGTCAGCTCCAACATGGAGTTTCTCTTGGCTAGCAACAAATAACTAATTATAAGGGGGAAAAGAAGATAGCAATTGTGTGAAATGTGAAATTTGAATGATTATTTACAAGCTTTGTGGCCAATGTGCTCACCTTTTCCTTTTAAACTCAACCTTGTATTCCTCTGGCTAAAAAACAAAAGTCTCACCAAAAAGAGAGAGGAAAAGAAACGACAATGGAACAACTTATAAATAACAATTTATTTTTAATTTATAATTAATTAGAATAAACTTTTTTTGGAAATTTAAATGTCTAATATAGAATTTGTGAAGAAGCATCCAATTTGCTTACATATGTCCCAAATGTTTATAATTGAACTTTGATTTTTATTTTTATTTTTTTTCTGTGAATTGATTTGATATATTGAATAAAATTAGTTACGGTTGAAAAAATAAAAGATTGGGCAGAATTTTGGATTGAATTTTGAGTTTTTGAGTGAACATAAATTAAAATGTAATTATTCAAGTTGATGCGATATAAAAGTGATAAATGATTTATGTAAATGACGGGTGGTTAAGAATATGTAAGTGAATTAATTTTGTTGGAAAATATGTAGCGATAATTAGTGAATATTATTTAATTATACTGATTATATTGAGGTTGAATTAAAATTTTTTATCCAATCATAATTCGGAAAAAATAAATTATCGATCTTTTTTTTTTTCCTTTTTCCACACCCAACAATATATATTAGTTAAAAAATAAGCATACACTAACAAGTCAAATCAAGATAGTGTTCATTACATAGACAGAAGTAAAAGTACAGTACAACAAATATGCATAATTCAAGAATTGAACAGAAAATTTGTTTAAACAAAGAACCATCAATATATATTTTGAGAATGAAAAAGAAAAAACATGTGAACAAATACAATTATCCTTTCCTTTTTCTTTCCCAGCCTTTTGAGTACTTTAGTACATAGTTTGCTTTGCTTGGAATAAACTCAATGGATGATACTGAAAGAGCAAAAATGTTTGTATAGTTAGTATTTAGTACTGAGTGTGTACACACTTGATGATATTATACATAGAAACCTTAGTCTTCACTTTTCTCAAACTTAAAGCTACCCATTATTAGGAAGTCTTAACCCCCCCACTTAATTATTTTTAAGAACCTTAATAATGCATCCATCCAATGAATAATAAAGAGTTGTTGCTGATAGGGAAACTTGTTGTGGATATTTCTAAGTATAGATCAAAATTAGATTAGCATAGTTAATCACGAATAGTACTCGCCTAGTCAAATGAATTTGTCTAACCGACTAACCGAGCCTCATGAAAGCCTAAAAGTTATAATTAATTTTTTTGTAAGATTATATGTGGATCAAAAAATTAGAGGTGTTTGAAAGAAATTAAAAGAGTTTGGAAGACTTTTATATTAATTAATTATCATAATTATATGTGGAACACATAATAAATTCATATATTTATTAGTGTTGACGAATTCTTGTTAAGTCCCATAAACCTAGAGTCAGGAAAATATCCGAGGGTTTAAGGCCTATTCAAGTTCGCAAATGTGTTGATTTTAAATTAAATAAAAACGAAATTTCATACACTTCTCCCTCAATACTTTTTCACCGACTACGTGTGTGATCAACAACAAAAAAAAAAAAACAACAACAACAAAGCCTTTCAGTCCCAAACATTTCATTTCCATAGAATGGCTAGGTTTTACGTTAGCTCGTCAAGCCTATCACAACCCTCCTCCTTTACCAGGGCTTGGGACCTGCTATGTTGAGACAACATAGGCGGAGTTTTTGATCAACAAATATAAATAAAAATTACATGTCAAGATTCTACATTATGGGAAAATTCTACAGTCATGTTACGAAACTATTCTGTCGAGATTTGTAATCGTTACATCGTCATTATCCACATTTTATCAAAAAGAAAAAAGAAAAAGCAAACCCAGGAGCAAAACAGAGAGCAGTTAGACAGAAGAGCATCAAACATTCCTGAGAAAGACAACTCTCCCGCCACCACCATTAAACCTCACTCAAATTCCTCTCCAAAGACAGCCACATTTCACCAGCTCACAAACTTGTAAACTACTGAACAAATCAACCAACAAAACAAACAGCAAACAAAATCAAATCAAATAAAGGAAAAAAAGCAAAAAACCGAAAAATATGTTGGTCGCTTTCCCTTCCTTTCCTCCACCATCGTCATCAACATACCCATTTTTAATTTTAACTCCTCACCCCTTAAGGGGTTGTTTGGTTTGAGGGATTTGGAGGGGAGGGGAGGGAAGGGGAGAGAAAATTTTAATTTTCACTTGTTTGGTTGAAAAATTAGGAGGGGAGGGAGAGGAAAATTTT